ACTCGCAATCACGCTCGTCTTAATCATTCGAACAGGATAAGGCGACCCCGGAGGTCGCACCTAAAATTGTTCTGGGTCCAACCCAAACACGATTATCGACCAAGTTATTGAGGTCGTCCCCAATAACTTGCGCGGAACGACCTCGAAGGTCGTACCACCGAGTGTCTTGGATCCAACCCAAACACGATTATCGACCAAGTTATTGAGGTCGTCCCCAATAACTTGCGCGGTACGACCTCGTAGGTCGTACCACCGAGTGTCTTGGATCCAACCCAAACACGATTATCGACCAAGTTATTGTGGTCGTCCTCAATAACCTGCGCGGAACGATCTCGTCGGTATACGCAAAAGATAATAAACAAAATAGATATTCAATAAAGAAAAAGCTAACAGAAGTGGCAAGAGTCTTACAAAAGCCGACTACGCGGCAAATAACTTAAAAAAAAAAACAACATAAACGCTCAAGACGCGGCCTCGTCTTGAGGAGGATCCCCGACCCGGGCGTCACCATCACCAACGGCTTGGTCGACGGCCTCGACGTCACCAGCAACTTCATCGCTAATACCTTCAACCGAAGGCGCAAATTCCTCAGCGACGAGAGATCCCGTGAAGAGATTTCCGACGTCATTCCAGCCTTCCTCTAGCTCGGCAATGTCGAACGCATTGACCTCGTTCTTAAGCGCTTCCGCATCAGCTTCAAGCCTCTCAATCACGTCCTTGGAGTTCAAGACGACCTCCCCAGTTTCAGCCAGCGCCTTCAGCAGGTCAACGCTCCCGACCGCCTGATTATAATCGAGGAACTTGGGATACGCCGCGTTCCTGGTAGTGAAATGCCTCTGAATCCCGTCGAGATGTTGCTGAAATTGGTCGGCAGCCTCCTTGAGAGCCTTGGTTACGTGAATACGAGCGTATTCGGTGCGCCGCTTCCGAAGCCTTGCCTCCTCGGCTTGTGACTGCTCGGCCAAGTGCTTAAAGTCAACTCGGGACTTCGACAACTCCTCAAGACAACGCTCCCGTTCTGAAAGAGCGTTATCCCGTTCCTCCTTCAGTTTGGCGACCTCCTCGCAAAGAAGGTGCACCTCGGAGTTAGCACTCTCCAAGCCCTTCGACGCCTGATCGGCCCTCTTCGTCTCGGCTGCCAAGGCCCTCTGGTGATCCTTCGAGGCCGTGTTCTGCTCAGAAACAACGCGGAGGCGACGCTCATACATATACGCCATCCTGTCAATCGCGCCAATGGCCTACAGAAAGAAGTAAAAGCTCGGTTAGAGAGCAAAACACTTAAAGTATTGCGAAAAAGTTCTTAAGGCATTACCGCAACGGTCTTCTTCGCGGCGTCAGTGAACGCCGTTCTCTCCCACATATCTTGGAGCTCGAAGAAGGGAGATGGACCGACATGAAGCTTGCGGAACAGCTCTGCACAGGATGTGGAATCAGTCGAGATATGAACGTCGCGCCCGTTATAATCATATCGCCACCTATAGTCAGGGGCCCAGGCCGTCCTTTGTTTCTTGGTCGGGTCCGAACGCACCGGTTCGGACTCATCAGCAGCCCGCTTCTTGGTCGGCTCGACCTGAAAGTTGTCATACAAAATAACCTCCCTGCCGCCTAAGGGCACATCGTGAGAAGTCTCGGCAACAGGTAGCTTAGCTGACCGCGCTTCAGCCACCTCTTTCTCCCTCCTTTCCCTCTCTACGTCGGATCTTGCTTCCGAACGATCGACACCATGACCGCGTCGA